TACGTGTGTGTCTGCGTGTGTGTGCGTCTGCGTTTGTGTCTGCGTGTGTGTGTGTCTGCGTATGTGTCTGCGTGTGCGTGTGTGTCTGCGTATGTGTCTGCGTGTACGTGTGCGTCTGCGTTTGTGTCTGCGTCTGCGTGTGTGTTTGCGTGTCCATCTGCGTTTGCGTTTGCATGTGCATGTTTGCGTCTGCCTGTGTTTCTGCGTGTGCGTGTGTATCTGGGTGTGCGTCTGCGTAGAGTCGTCTCTACACATCTGAATCAGGTTTTTGCGCGCTCGTGGCTCCCTGGTCAGGTGTGTGTGGACGTTGTTGGGTTTTAGGCCTCATTCATGCAGCTTTTTGAAGCAGAAGCAAAGCGGGAAGCTGCACCGGGGCATTGTGGGAGTTTCAGAGCCCAAACCAGACAGCAGCTCTGCATGTTTGTGCCTTGTTTCCGTCCTGGTGGTGAACTGTTTATCTCTCCAGTGGCCTCCTTTCCCATTGATCATCCCGGATTACTGATCAGCTCCAGTTAGTTAAGGACATGAGGTTTTGGTTCCTACATTTTGAGTTGAAACGAAAGTTTTAGCGTTGAACTGTTGACCTTGCGTTGTTTGGGGGAAGTTTAATATGTTCAGAGATCAGAGGACAGAAGAAGAAGATCAAACCGTTTTATCCGAACAAAAGTCAATTTATTTGAACCCAAAACCAGATTTGGAAGGCGATATTCAGCTGTCAGAACACAACCACACGCACCCGGACACGTGCACGCCAGATGGCCGTGACGGTTTTCCATCTGTCAGCCGTTCACACTCGCATTGGCGACGATGCCTACCTGCACAGACAGCCTGATTCATCTACAGGAGCCTGAGAGGGACACAAGACCCGCTCACGTTGAAAACGCAGATCCAGACTCCCGATCCAGTTTTTTTTTTTAAGTCTGATATCCCACACGAGCATTAGCATTAGCATCTCCTAACCCACAGGTCTGTGTCCTAACCATTAAGTCTTAAGTAAGGAAGTTTTTCCTTGCCTGTGTCGCCTAGTGCTTGCTCATGGTGGGAATTGTTGGGTTTCTGTAGTTAACTTCAGAGTAGGGTCTGACCTGCTCTGTTTGGAAAGCGCTGTGAGACAACTGTTGTTGTGATTTGGCGCTGTATAAATACAATTTAATTGAATTGAATTGAAGTTGTTATCAGAGTAAATCCCTGTTCAACATGAGTCTGACAACTAAGTAAGTAGATAAATAACTTTAAACTTTAATACATGCTCTGATAGGCCGGGATCGGATCGGAAGTGCAGAAGGCTGGATCGGGAAATCCCTAGCTGGACCTGGGCCTGCTGGGTTTAGCGCTCCTGGACCTGCTGGGTCTGGGGCTCCTGGGGCTGCTTCTGGCCCCTGCTCATCCCACACCGGTCAGCCCCCCCCGCCGGTCCCGTCCGGCAGCGTGCCAGGCGTGCTGGCCGGCTCTGGCATTTCCAGCTCAGTGTCGAATTCCCACCCAGCCTGCTGCCGTTCCACTCTGGTAGCAGGCATCTGTGGCCCCCCCGGCAGAGGATACAGTATGTGCTTTCCAGCACAGCTCTGCGGGACACCGGCGGAATGTGCCGGGGGCTGAGGTCATGTATTGTGGAAGGCTGCAGGCCGGAGCACGTGGAAAACCTCTCTGGGAAACCTCAGCCACTCATTCCACAAGGACTGTCAGGCTGTGATCCCTGAGTTGTGTGTGTGTGTGTGTGTTCTGGATCCTGTCAATCAGCTGTCATCTTTTGCTCTTCATCAGCTTTCTGAATCTGTTTCAGAGCTTCTCTGCTTCTTCTGAGTCTTTTCAGTAGCTGTGTGTTTTTGTTGGCCGCTAAACTTCGAGCTGTGAGTCCTTCCCCTAGCTGAAGGGATGAGCCAGTGCTTTGTACAAAGTGGATCTTTGGGCTCTTTGTTAGCAGCAGCAGTCAGAAATTCGCAGCACTGGTTCCATTTCTGTAGCCGATGGCTGAAAAAGGCCAAAGAAAACCCAGATCTGACAGACAGGAAACAGGATTTCTGAGGATTCCCGAAGAGCTTTTGGCTGGAAACTGGGCAGATCTCAACCCGGAGCTGTAGAAAACCAGAAAATCCAGTAACCTTTTTTGTTTTTAATGTTTTAATTTTTTTAACATCATTGGCTTTAAGTGGGAAATGCGTTTGGGACTATGTTTCACAGGCAGTTGTGTTTTAAATCTGTTCATTGACACTTGGTTTGTGTGTCTGTGACAGTGGGCTGGGCAGAGGCCTTGTGTGTGGTGTTGTAGGGGTTGGGTTGTTATAGTCGGAGCTGGTTATTTCCCCTCTACCTCCTGGTCTAGCCGGAGGAATGCCGGTGGCATAGCTGAGCCGTTTTCACAGAAACTGAGCGACCAGGTTTAGGGAGAGTTGAAGCATGACTAAAGGAAGAACCCGCTAGTCTGGATCTGGAGTTTGGACAGAATTGTGAAACCGAGCGTTAAACTTGGAGCAGTCTGGATGGTCCTTTTTTGCTCCTTTTGTTCCAGTTCTTCAACATTTCTTCGGCACAGTCCCCACAGCTCACAGACAGCAGAACTCCCTTTTCTATCCTGACTTATGAGTCTTTAGACTTTCTTCCAGGAAAGGAGAAGCTGGTCTGGACTGTGGCAGAAAGGGGAAACGGGCCGGACGAGCTTTGGTGTCGTGGTCAGTCTGTCCCGGCTTCTTCTCCTCCTCCTGGGAGAGAGATCGTTTGCCTGGACTTTGTGGCGTTGCACCGGGCCCTGCCGGACTGATTAGCAGGATTACTGCCCGCCTCCAGATTAGACCGGCAGCAGAGGCCATCTGCTGGGCCAGGAGCCGGACAGTGGCCTGCCAGGGTCCGGCCGGCAGCCCCGGCTTCAGAGAGCAGGTTATCGATCCGGAAGCGCTCCACAGGTATCATTAATTCATGGAGAACATCCTCATTAAAGCATGAAAACATCAGGAGGTTCCTGCTGGACTTTGTAAGAGCACTCGCTTTGGATTTCCATGAGCGGGTGAAAGATGAGAAGGCAGTTTTGCGCCCTCTTAGCATCATTCTCCATCATTCGGGCTGGATGATGGAGAATGGACCTGTCTGGAAGGCAGCAGTTTGGAGATCTTCCTGCTTTTAGCTTCTCAAAGGTTTGGGATTTGAGCTGTTGAGTGGACAAAAGACCTCCTGTTGAGGTGAACGTTTCTCTGGCCCTAACAGATGAACGGCTGGAGCAGGGGGCTGGACGTTCCCGTCTCGGATATTTTCTGCCCCGTCAGCTCCGCCGTTTATTTCCTGGATCAGATAGTCGAGGTGTCATAAAATCCCTCCCACGCGTTTCCCTTCTGTACGCGTTTTCCGGCTGGCGTGCGTTACCGGCTCACTGTGTGCTCATTCGGCGGCGTTCCCAGCTCCGGGAACGTCGGAACTTCTCTTTTTTTCCAGCCCTGTTTGGATTTTTTCGTGTTTGCTTTTCTGTCCAAGGCCTCTGTGAAGCGGGGCTGAAGGCCGGCGGCCGATAAGGCGGCCGGTCAGAGGGCGCCGCTATCAGCTGCTGTGGGCTGAGTCATCCCCCCCCCCCCTGACCTTTGACCCTGTGAGCACTGACCCCGCCGCTGTGGCTGTTTTGGGAGCGGAGGCTGAGTCCAGGACGGCCTCAGATCGGGGGATTAGCGGGCTATATTAAAACCTTCATCCTCCTTAGACTGCGTCAGTCTGCCGGGCCCAGGGCGAGCTGGACCAGGTCCCCTCAGACCGGGTCAGTGAACTGGACCGGATCCCCTCAGACCGGGTCGGTGCCAGCCGAAGCCACCTGTCCAGGGTAGGCTGGTCCTGATCCGATATCTGGATCAGATCAGCCGGCAGGAGAAAATGCAGATCCAGTTTGTTTGTTTTTAAGTCTGATCCCACATTAGCGTTAGCATTAGCATCTGTAATAGACAGCCTGATTCATCTACAGGAGCCTGAGAGGGACACAAGACCCGCTCACGTTGAAAACGCAGATCCAGACTCCCGATCCAGTTTTTTTTTAAGTCTGATATCCCACATAAGCATTAGCATTAGCATTAGCATCTGTAACCCACAGGTCTGTGTCCTAACCATTAAGTTGTTATCAGAGTAAATCCCTGTTCAACATGAGTCTGACAACTAATTAAGTAGATAAATAACTTTAAACTTTAACACATGCTCTGATAGGCCGGGATCGGTATCGGATTGGAAGAGCAAAAAGCTGGATCGGGATGTCCCTAGTCTAGGGCACAAAGACCAGACTGCTCTCAGGCTCCTTTGTGTCCAGCTCAAATGTCCAGAGTAGAGATGTAGGAGCTTCTCTGGGAGTGGATCGATCCTGATCAGTTCCCGGACCAGCAGCAGTCTGGGAGGTCAGACCAAAGCTGGAAGGGAACCTGGAGTCTCCTTCATTTAGTAAATCCAGCGGTGGTCATCCCAAATGACCGGTTCATTGGGGGATGGCCACTGCTGTCCCTCTGTTACTGACCGGGAGGGAGTTTGAGCATGTGAATTTTGGGAAGAGAGGCAATGTGTTTGTCCACTTTCTTAGATTTCAGGAGAGTTCATTTGTTTATTGGATTTAGTCTGTGGAGCTTTTAAGTGGTTTACATAATACCGAAGAGGGGATTTGATAAGACCCTTAGTCTCTGGAGTCTGGTGTGCATGAATCTTGTGATATTTGGGTTGAGGAGTGGTTTCCTTCTGTTATTGTAACCTGCTGACCACACTAAAAGAAGAGTCCCAGTCCCTCCACACAATATAAGAAAATACCAGCAGCTTTTAAATGAACATTTTAAGTTTAAAGTCTAGAAATCCAAACCAATCACACGCGGGCTAATCGGAGTCCTCCTTTCAACTTTTTTTCACATCAAATTAAAGTCATATGAATCAGATTTCGGTGAAATGGTGGTTTCAGATGAGCCCGGTTATTTACTGGATCCTGTCCACTGATTGGGTCACATGACAGTTGACCTTTTGAGTCTGCTGTCATTTTCATTTTATGACCATGTCTTCTCATTTTTCCAAAAGGAAATGTAAACGGAGGTCTTCCTCATCTTTGTTAATTGGTTTAAATATTAATAATTACATGAGACTTCAACATCTTTATTGACTACATCTATAGAAAGAATGCAAGCAAATCCCCATTTTGATGCCGTGCGTACCTCGTAAGAATGTAAAATGAAAGGCAAAGCTGTGAAAAACATTCTGGCCTTTTAAAAGAATCCTTCTGAAAGCCTTCAGCCCATCTCCTTGAGATTCCTGACACTTTTTTCTCTCTCCGTGTGTCCTTCAGGCAAATCGGGCGAGGCGGTCTACTCTCCCAGCCACAGCGGCTCCCAGACCACCTCCCCCGTCACCCTGCCGCCCCTCCGCAACAACAACCTCCACCCGCTGACGGTACCGGAGACGCACACACACACACACCACACACACACACAGCACACTCCACGACCTGCAAACTGATTGAACTCTGAGGCAGAAGTTAACTAGTGGGTTTCCCAGTGTGTGAATTACTGCCCTGGAGCGAGAGGAGTCCCCTTTTAACCCTATAAGTGTCATATCTGATGCACACAGGTTCTGAAATGTTTGGCAACTGAGACTTTTTGCATCATTTAATGGTTAAAACTGTTCTACACAGTCAGATGATAGCAGGCAGAAAATTGCACCCCCTCATTTTGACTTAAAGCTAGCTAATAAATTATTAATAGAATGGAATATTTTTTCATATTTTTCTAAAGGGCCAGATATAGACTTCAGTCTAAAAAAAAGTTGTTTTCTCTCTACTTTTTCTTGGATCAGGCTTTAAATTCACACTCACTGCTTATGATTTCAGGCTTTGTTTGTTTCTAAAACCAGAGGGTTTTTCTAGAAAATCTCAAATTTTACCTTTCAGCTTTGAGAAAACTTGCAACGTAACATAAAAAGCATTTGGGTGGCTGATCCTCCATCTTTTATCAGGAATTATTGACTAAACGAGATTGTCGATTGTCTCGGATGACGTCTCATTCGGACTAAAACAGCATTTTTTTTCTTAAGGAAATCCATCCAAATTTTAGATGTGTGACGAAGGCTGATTTAAAGTCAGATCTGGTGGAAGGTGCTGCTCCTCTGCCTCTCACACTGACATCTCGGTGCTAAGTGACTGGCTCCTGAAGCCCCCCCCCCCCTCCTCTGTAGCTCTAACTCACCACGGTAATGGTCCTGAGGGGTTGTAAATGCCTGGGACACCAGGCAGTTAGGACTCGAATGCATCTTAGCTTCTTACACTAGCCAAACTTCTGCTCGTTTGAGGGGAGAAATGGCTGGAAAATCGCACAGAAACAGAAAGTCTGTGCTGTTTTCAGATGTTTTTTGACACAAAAAGTACAGTTTTATCCTTCCCCTGCTTTAGAAGCCACACAGAATAGCCTAAAAGTCAGCTGCTGGACACCAGAGCAGATGTCCAGCAGCCTCTCCCTGTGAGGACGCCTCCACCGGTGCAGGCCTCAGCCGGCTGAGTGGATTCAGGAGAATCAATAAACAGATTATCGGAGGAGGTCCCGATTGGGCTCCACGCACAGCAGCCGCCAATTAACTTAATCCCTTCAGCCGTCCCTGGAACTCGGTTCGGGCCCGCCGGGTTCGGCCGCTCGTCATGTTTATTTATAAGTGTGAGGCAACAGGGGCGTCTTTGAGCCGCGGCCCTGCGTGCTAGCCCCGCCGCTAGCCCGCTGGAAAAGTGGGCTGTAGCCACGTGGCTAAGAATAGCTTCCTGCTCTGAGATGCTTTAAACAGCTGATTGGTTTATAGTGAAGGACACTCACACACAGTCCTAATGGGGGAAAAGTGCTCCACTCCCCCCCCCCCAGTGCTTCCAGAGCTCTGTTAGCGCTGAAAGGACTTCTTGTTGTTGCACATTAGAGGAAGCTCATGAAATGTTAATATCAACCTCTGAAGAGACTAATCAAACAAGCTGATATGAATGCCGTCCAGATCGGTTTCTAGCTTCCCTTGCAGAATCTGTAGGTTCAAAGGAAATATACGCAGTTGTTAAGGTTATTGGTGTTTTTCCAGGAACTGGTTGTAAAAGCCCATAAATGCCTGTGAATGACTTTGTTGTTGCTTTGATTAATCAACAAATAGAGTTGCAACCGAGTTACGCAACCCTGATTAATCTCATTATTAGATAAGATAAGAATATATTCTGACTTAGAGTTCATCAAACCCACCCCTCAGGTCCTTCAATGCTCTAACGCCATGGCATCATTTCTCCATGGGAACCGGGGTGTGGCCCCTCCCAGATGACAGATGCTCCTGCCTGGGCCTCTTAGACTGAGTCTTCAGACCCAATCGTATGTGTGCCATAACGTGCCAGCTTCAGGTTATACCTCCAGAACATCCGTTACTGCTTATAAACTCAGTTCAAACTCGGGAAAACATGGAGAGGATGCGAAGGATACAGGCCCCATAGGGGATGAGAGGACAAAGCTGGATAAGAATCAAAGGATTCGCGTAAAAAGTCTTAAGAAAAGATTCAAATGAGACTTTTATGTGCTGGTGATGGGACTGGAGGGGTTCCCTGACCCCCCCCCCGTCTCACTGCTGGGCAGCTTCACATGTGGCGCTCCACTCAGAGGATGTGGACGGAGGCACGCCCCAAACATTCGCTGCTCTCTGAACGTCCCATTTTTAGAAGGGGGAAAATATGTCGCTGGTATTTTTTCGCTCGGTCAGAGGGCGTGTCCTGAGGCTCGTGTTAGCCGGCGCTAACCAAGCGCTCCACGTTTCAGTTTCAAACTTAAGTTACCGAACATCACCAGCCAGACACCTCCCCGGTAACCATTTTTAGCCGCCCGCCGGTTCCAGGAAGCCTTCCAGGACCAGGATGGTTTAGGGGGAATCTGTTCTCACTTCCTCTGTTTTGACCACAGGAACAGGGGGGTGTAATTAGTGTGAGGGGAGAAACTGTAGCCACCCAAACGGCCTCGGTCTCCAGCTCCCTCCTCCCAGCTTTAATCTGCTGATTCATCACATCTGGGTGCTCGGACAGATGTTTTCTGCTGGTGTTTAGGTGCTGTCAGGTGTGTGTGTGTGTGTGTATGTGTGGGGAAGGGGTGGGGGGGCTTATGATGATGAAACGCTGTGTGTGTGAGCTGTTGTTGTGTTAATCACAGGCCTTTGAGCCCAGCCGCCCCCCCCCGTCATCTGAGGGGGCCAGGTGTGCGGTCGCCACGGCAGCGGGCAGCTGTGGAGCGTTTACCTATCTGTTGAGTGTTTGAATGTTTTTTTCTGGTTGATGGCCTTCGCTGTTTATGCACTTTTTTCTAAATTCTGTACATAGTTTTTTGCAGCATTTTTTCAGTGCTCGGTACGATGACAAAAGTTTGTCTTATCTTGTATCTAGTTACATTTGGTAAAATGAGACTCTTTTTGCTCTCCAGTACATCTCTGGAGGAGTTGTGGTGTAGTGGTTAGCATAGCTGCCTTCCAAACAGTTGACCTGGGTTCAATTCCCAGCCAATGCAGCTCCTCTCTACCCTGCAAGTCGCTTTGGATAAAAGCGTCTGCCAAATGCATGACATGACATGAACATGACAAACACATACAAAGACTATGTTTAGAGCTCCTAATGTCCAGTTTCAGAGAGACTGCAAAGTGTAGATAACAGGACCTGGATGAATATGTGTGACATTTTAAACTGGCTGTTTGGATGTACAGAAAGCTTCACTGGATTATTCCTGACCACACAAGGCTGGTTAAACCTTTTCCGCCCGTCCCTCTGACTCTTGTGCTTGTGATTGGCCGCAGGGGGGATCTAAGGCCGGCATGTCGGACTCCGTCCAGCTGTCGTCCCAGTCGCAGGTCCACGTCAGCCAGCTGTTCGAGGACAACACCAACAAGCGCTCGGTGCTGACCTCCCAGCCCAACGGCCTGGCCCCGCTGGGCCCCGGCCGGCCGGGCCTGCCCCCCCCCGACCGGCAGGGCTCGGCCCCGGAGGCGGCCCACCACGGCCGGCAGAGCAGCGCCACGCCCAACAAGACCGCCGACGGCAAGCCCAAGCACAACACGCTGTCCCCCGAGCAGGCCATGAAGCAGTTCATGTCCAAAATGTCCTCCTTTGAGCACCACGAGGTGTTCAGCTACCCCGAGGGTGAGAGCCGCTGCCCCCCCAGGCCGGGGTCAGACCCCAGACCCGACGTCAGATCGTCCCGTTGACCCGCTCTCGTTTCTTTTCTCCTCAGTGTTTTTTGTGGGACCGAACGCCAAGAAGAGGTCAGGGGTTCTGGGCGGAGCCAACAACGGGGGCTACGACGACGACCAGGGGTCCTACATCCACGTCCCCCACGACCACATCGCCTACCGCTACGAGGTCCTGAAAGTCATTGGGAAGGGGAGCTTTGGACAGGTATGACCAGGGCATGCATCCGGCCGGTTGCGGCTCTTTTGTGTATTTTTTTGTTTCTTTGTTAGTCTACTTTTGGTAGTTTGTGGTCTCTCTGTTGTCCTGTAGTCTATGTGCTAGTTTCTGGTCTCTGTTTTAACATTTTGTGTGTGCTCCTTGCAATTTTTTGTCCTGTTTTGGACATTTTTTGTGACATCGGATGGGATATTTTCAGTCGCCTTTTGCCAAAGGAAGCAGCCTGGATGTGCCTGGTTTCCTCTCCTCCCGCAGGTGGTGAAGGCCTTCGACCACAAAACGCAGGCCCACGTGGCTCTGAAGATGGTCCGCAACGAGAAGCGCTTCCACCGGCAGGCGGCCGAGGAGATCCGGATCCTGGAGCATCTGCGGAAGCAGGACAAGGACTCCAGCATGAACGTCATCCACATGCTGGAGAACTTCACCTTCCGGAACCACATCTGCATGACCTTTGAGCTGCTCAGCATGAACCTCTACGAGCTCATCAAGAAGAACAAGTTCCAGGGCTTCAGCCTCCCGCTGGTCAGGAAGTTCGCCCACTCCATCCTGCAGTGCTTGGACTCGCTGCACAAGAACCGCATCATCCACTGCGACCTGAAGCCCGAGAACATCCTGCTCAAGCAGCAGGGACGCAGCGGCATCAAGGTGAGGGTGCCGGCCCCCTCTCAGGAGCGGCCATCCTTCGCTTTGCACCTCAATAAAACCGTCTCCTTCTCCCTGACTACCCCTCAGGTCATAGATTTTGGGTCAAGCTGTTACGAACATCAGAGGGTATACACCTACATCCAGTCCAGGTTCTACCGAGCACCAGAAGTCATACTTGGTAAGAAGAAGGTTTATAATTAAGTTAAATCACTTGGATTTAGTTTGAAGTTGAGTTTTGTTGAGCCATTTTTTTAGGCCAAGGACTGGTACGGATAGTTATGGATGTGTCTTTCTGTTCTCCAGGTTCCAGATATGGGATGCCCATCGACATGTGGTCTCTGGGCTGCATTCTGGCGGAGCTGCTGACCGGCTACCCGCTGCTCCCGGGCGAGGACGAGGCCGACCAGCTGGCCTGCATCATGGAGCTGCTGGGCATGCCCAGCCAGAAGCTCCTGGACGCCTCCAAAAGGGCCAAGAACTTTGTGTCGTCCAAAGGGTACCCGCGCTACTGCACGGTCAGCACGCTGCCGGACGGCTCGGCCGTGCTGAACGCCGGCCGCTCGCGGCGGGGGAAGGTGCG